CTATAGTTCACAATATGATTTAAATTTTTTATAAGAATCTCTCGATGTTGATTGATAATATTGCGTTTTTCAACACATTCATATTCTTAGGGATTCTTTCCTATCGGATTCCACTTTTCTACTCATTAACTACGTTCTATTTGAAATTTTTTTTAGTAATATTTTTGGACTTCCTCAAAAAATACTGTTAAAGAATAAAAACATCAAAGTAGGCCTACGACTTTGAAATTTTTAGATAAACTCAGTTTTTTATTCTGAACAACTTCTCTTAATAACATTTTTGAGTACCTCGTCCCCAAAGAGCACTTTACTGGTATGCAAAAAAACGTTTTAAGAAAAATTTTTAAGACACCTTTGATTTTTCTAAACTAAAATTATGTCATCAATTAGTTGGCAGACAAGCAGGACTGATCCCTAGATGCTTAAAATTTAATTCGAAAATTGTTTTCTTCTACGAGACGGCCAAACAATCGGGGGAGGGAGAGCACTATATTATAATTCTCCTCCAAAAATTTTCTTACTTATATTCATATAATTTTGAAATGACCAGCGTGCTAATAGTCCAAGCAACGAAGACCAAAAAATACCAAATAGCGGAAATAATTCATGTAGAAGCCAATTTTTGCACACTTGTAGAGGAAGGTGTTCTTAACAACATACTAAAAGTCCTGGGGGGTGAGGGTGGAGCTAAGGGTGTAGGGGGTGTCTAAAGGTCCTATTTTTCAGTTTTTTGTCAATAACTCGTAAAATAATGCCCACTTTTTTGCTAGGATCAATGCTCAAGGAGATATATGGAGGTGAGAGGGGGTGTAAAATTTAAAAAAAAAAGTTTTAAGTTAAAGTTTTAAGTTAAAAATAATATGTTCATTGCTGAAAATGAAGTAATTAGTGAATGAATTATTATTATATATATCTTGACAATTAAATTTCGTCAAAATCTAAATCTTCATCGATGCTTTCTTCGACGGGGGCTCCGTTCGTACATGAGCCGAGGCATCCACAGGCACCGGAGCAGGTAATCCCTGCCTTTCGGCAACCGCAGCGCACCCCACACCCAGTCATGCATCGACAAAAGATCATTTTCAGAATGGATTCGGGTGCCACAGGGTCTTTCGTGTAAACTGGGTTAAGGATACCATCTTTTCCCTTGACCCAACCCCATTGTATGGGGGGTAGGGGGTTTCCGAGCCACTGTTGTATCTGTAAGAAAGTAATGAGACCAACGTAAGAATTCATCACAAATTAATATTTGTAATTTAAAGAAAGCATTAGGTATTTTAAGATACAAGTAAATGGATTTACCTGTAGGTATGCTCTGAGCGAGTGTTGCTTTGAAGCTCCTTTGGTAGGCGGAAGAGTGGCCATATCTGACTTGGGCTTCATTGCAGCTTTTAAAAATGCTGAGTATCTAAGTTCGTTTAGATTATTTTGATGAGCAGGCGCTTTGTATATAGCCAGGAAAAGTTTCTCACCAGCCTCTTCAATATCCTCAGGTGATGTTGAGGGATCTTTAAATATTGTGGACATGTCTTGAGTAAGGCCAGGATTTTCCTTGAAAAGCTTAGCTATTCCCACTTTACTCTTCCCATGTACCGCCGAGGTAGTGTCGCATCCGGAGAAGCTATGGAGAAGGAGAATCGTTTTGGCGACCGGATGTTGTTGAAGTTGCCGCACTGAAAACAATTTGGTCTCCACATTACCACGGCCTGGCTTCATGAAGTATATATTGGTTGATTGTGGTGCCAACCCAATGAGGAGAACTATCAAGTCCACATCCTCCCCAACTATTACTGCAGTTGGATGTACAGCAGCTTTATCCAACCCGCACCTCACAATAGTGCCGTCAGCATCCCCTGTAGCTATAGTAGTTTCCTGCTGCTGTCATTTTCTCACTGAGCAAGGTGAATCAGCCTTGTTTTGTTTCTTTCATTAGCAAGAAAATGCTCTTGTTGAACTGTGATGGTCGTGTTTTCTTGAAAGTTGATGTCAACAGAAGTTTTTGAGATCCCTCTTCGCTTCTGCTCCGCTCGTTTTGTGCTGTCGACATGACTATAACCATAAAAAACCACCATACAATTTTCACCGTAATGTTTTTGTGCATAGGCAATGTACTGTTGGGAAATTGATAAAATGTTGGAGGACTGTTTCCACTTCACACGGTGGAGGAGGAAACCGCCATCTACTACAACGGTGCTCTGGGTGAGATCGAGGGTTGCGTTGTCCTCTGCCGGCAAAACATCATAGAGGGCTGATTTTTTCCCTTTTCGCATTCCGCCTTCGTTGAACAGAACCAAGGGGTATGGAGTTAATTCATATGCTAAAAGCTCTGCTACATCGCTGTCGTTCTTTTTTACTATGACAGTTCGTTGAAAAATTGTCAGGGGGTTAATACTCGCACTTTCTCACCATTAATTTTTACAGTGTTACTTATACTGGCTATTGACAAAAACCACATTCTTTTTAGATTGCTTCATGTCACCGAATTTGCTGCCAATAAAACTTTGCATTGTTTTGGTTCCAATATCGAGGGCTTGGTGGCAGTTTATTTTGGAACTTCCCAAGATGCCCGATGACAGCGACATTAGCGAATCCAACTTCGGAAAAGGGGGATGGTCATTGAACCATTCGTGAATCTTAGCTCGATCTCGTGAATCTCTTGTTTGCCTTGATACCCGAAAATCAACGTGTTGCTCTCTAGTTGCGAAAACCACTTCAGCAAACTTGTTATTGTTGAAAAATTAATTATTTAATTGTCAAGATACATAATTAATTCACTAATCACTTCATTTTTAACAATAAACATGTTATATTTAACTTAAAACATTTCTTTTTTTTTTTTAAAACTTTCTAAAATTGTACACCCCCTCCCACCTCCATATCTCCTTGAGCATTGATCCTAGCAAAAAAATGTATAAGTAGAACCTTTTTTATAGATAACTTTTATGTAGATTAATTTAGTATACCAGTGGGAACAAAAAGAAAAGAAAGCGCACCACATTTAAAATATGTCAAATCATTTTAAATAAAGAAATGAAATTAAAATTATTAACAAGATATAATGATGTATTTTGCATTATCAATATAAAAAGAACGTATTAAATACGGCGGATCAATTACTCATTTGACAATTTTATTTCTAAATGCAGATTGCACATCTTCACAACTGACGGAATAGTGTTTACAACCACATCCCTCTGTACTAAACTAACCACAAATTCCATTGTCCCAGATTATTATTAGATTATTCAACTGTCTGAAAAATACAATACAATCTTTGCTTTACTTTTATTATAAAAACACTTTATAAAATTATACAGAAATGCTTGTAATACATTCTTAAAATCAATTTTACAGACGCGGTAACAGTAACAAATACAATAAACAATAAAATTTGGACGACTTGAAATATTTGTTTGTGAAGAACAGATGGAATAGAAATTTAACCAATTAAATTTTTTTTAACTTGAATATGCAACAAATGCACTTAAATATAGAGATGTACGTGGTCAAGAATACATTTTAGCAAATGTATAACTCACATATACAGTAAATCTGTACATCACTTCCACTTCATAATTCACTATTAGGTTTACCTAAAATAATTAAAAATAACACTAACATAGTTTTTATCAGTAGATAAAATAAAATACTACAATCTACGACTTCTGTACATGCATTTTAATCTATCGTCTATGTTGTATATTAAAGCCACAAGTTATTAAATACTTATGAAACCCCATAAATCTGTTTAATCATACTTTAGTTCTTGTAATGAAGTTTTCTAAGCTGAGTTGAACAGATTTCTTTTCATTTTTTATCTGGTTTAAAGAACGATTTAGCTTTGACTTGCGATTCCTTTTGACCTTATGTGGCGATTCACAAATTTTAAGAAAATTACGTTTCTGTAAACATGGGGGTTTAGAAATGACACTATTTAAGAATAATTCGACACTATTTGCATGCAGTGGTATTTTAGGCGAACTGTCTACTACTTGCGTATAACTAACAAATTCAACCTCACTGTCATCATCCAATGGTATTTGTTGAGCTGTTATTTCAGTTTCAGGTTCAAGAGTTTCCGTATGTTGTAGTAAGGACAATGAATTTTCCTCAATTGTAGTCAAATGTTCGATTTCTTCGTGACTTACATTGTTGTCTTTGAATTTTTTAGCAAAGCTTACATTTACTTCTTGATCGCCACTATTTGTTATATCCTGAAAGGATCTCTTTCGAACGTTTTGTTCAGATACACCTCTTTCAGGGTTAGTTGTTTTTTTTTCTTCTGTTCTGTTAGGGTTTGGTAATGGTTCTACGTTCTCGCAATCATCTTGAAAGGATGAGTTGTTGTCTTCGCAATCAGTGAAATAATCTCGATCTAAAATTTCTATGTCTATAAATTCATCTTCATTGGTTTGCTCCGGTTGGGGTGGATCGTCGATTGTGGTATTTTCCTCTCCGCTCAATGTGCAAACGTCACACAAAAATCGTCGCTTAAATTCTGTGCAACCTACATGAGTTCCAACAGAGCCACAAGTCTTGCATAATATCAATTTCCACTTTCCTTTGTCGGTACTAAAATTTCTTCCATCTGGACAAAGACATTTGAGAGAGTCGCAGGTGTCATGAACGTATAGCAAATCAGAGAAAGCATTGCGATCTAGTTCCCACGAGGCGTCTTGTTCTGGCACGAAAACTCCCCACATTCGAATCGATTCGATAAAATCTGTGTTGTTATTGCAACCAGGGCACTTTGTAAAATATCCAGCATTAAGCGCCATTTGCCTTAAACAATCAATGTGCAAAAGAACTCGCGACTTACAACAGCTAGCCCAATAAACCTGAGACGGCTTCGTCTTTTCATGAAAATCATCTAAACATATCAAACAATAATAATCTTTCAGCGATTTCTTAATAGATGCTGGTAAATTTGAAGGTTTCGTGTGCAAATTGCAATGAGTAGTGAACTTTGTAAAATGAAACATCGCATTATTTAAATAACCGCAATACATGTGAAATTTCCGATTACAATGCCTATGCACACAACCTAATGAAGCGTTCATTTTATTACAATAACAACATTTTTTTGATTTCGATCGTCCTACTTCTTTAGTAATATCTGAATGCAGGAAACCCAAAATGCCTTCTTCATCTTCTCCAGATTGGGTGATGGTTTCGCTTAGCAACAAACAATAATAATGGACCCAGACGTTTTTCAATTTATATAATTTTCCAAATTTTATTTCATCGTTTACGTCGATTCTACACATAACGCATATCTTGGGCACCTGCCTACTTTTCCCCATTGTTGGTTCCCCTCACCGATTTCTGAAAATCAAAAATATTCACTTATTAAGTGAAAGTTTCTCTATTTAAATAAGGATGTACTTATATGTAAAATATTATTACGTTGTTGCATTTGTAAAACATATGTAATTGAAAAATTACCAACATTTCAGATTTTCGTCCTAAGAGGAGTAACTTTAGTGCATTTTCCATGCATAGATCAGTATACTTCCCGAAAGATGGACACAAGCATTTTTATGGTTAAACAGCGGATATTTGATTTATGCTATAGTATATACAATATGTTTGTCGTTCAGAAAAGTGTCTGTGGTTAAAATTTCAAAAAACATGTCTCCGTAGATAAATAAAAAAATTGGCATTGCGCAATCTGCGCATGTACACGTCTGATTTTTACTATATGCGATATGTTTTTCTTTACTAAAAGCTGCTATGGTTAAAATTTCGAAGAATTATCTTCATAAATAAGAAAGTTGGCATTGAGTAGACTTCACATGCGTACATCTCTGTTTACAATATGCGATATGTTTGACTTTACTACAAACATCTGTAGTTAAAATTTCAAAAAATATTGCTGTGTAAATTACAGGGGGGTGTCGTTTCCCTAGGTTGAAGCAATGCCAAAGATGAGAGCGAGCCATCCTGTATGTAAAATTATTCTTATTCGGCAATCAAACAATTTTTTTCTTTCAAATTTAGACTTTAATATTGAAATTGCAGTAGCTGATTACCAAAGTACAAAAAATAGCATATATACCACAGGACTAAAGTGCGTCCTAATCACACGGATGCACCCTCGAGTTTAACACACACTTAATATACTATTACTTAATAAAAGTAGCAGTTTTTATGGTATATTGCTCCTATACTGCCTTGTATAAGTTAGCGGATTGGCAGATGGGCGGGGATTATCATAAGTCATTCCATTTTATTTCACTATTAGGTAGTGATAATCAGAATCAGAAACAAAATCCTGGAATTTGCGGATTTTGATTGAGGTCTTCGTAATTTTCAAAGTGTAAGAGTTTGATATCAATGTTAAGCTTATTGTTTGGGTCGGAATCCATTCGTGCCCTGAGGGGAACTTAAAAAGAGACAAGAAAATAATGGTAATTTGAGTTAGGTAGGTAGGGGCCTTAGCATTAATTTTTTAGAAAAGAAGTTTGCATTGTTGAAGTTAGTGGTTACAGGAATTTGTAGGAAGTTTAGACGTAGATGTTTGCTAAGATTTGTTAAGGTGTGTTTTTGCTATTTAGATTTGATTAGGATGTTTATTATAGGATTAATTATAGGGGTAGGTGAATAATGTGATAATGGAGTGTGGGATTTAAAGGGTTTAGAACACTACTTCTAACAGATTTTAATAGATTTAGAAGCATTTGATTTGATTGTTGACCAAACTGGAAAATATTGAATTTTTTGTGGCCACAGAAAAAAAAAGTCAGATGGAGTTAATCTAAGATGATAGGAAATGTCTATATTTCTGCTTAAATCCGGTCATCATAATATTCGGTCATCATCTTGAGTGCAATGGAAAGTTGTTCGGTCGGAAAAATGGCGAACTGATGTGTGTAGTTTACTTTTCAACACGGCTCTAATTCTCTCCGTATTTAATGGTGTACACCCTGATGATGGAAGACCAGTGCCACATTTCCCACTTCCAGGAACATTTGCGGCTCGATTTGCGGCATCATCAAACACAGGTGATCTGACCCCAACAATACGTGTTATTATTTCTTATTTATTGTTTCTCTCACTCTTGTACATCTTGAAAAAAAATGGTTTGTTTAGTTTAAAAATCCGATATGTATGGTCGGCTGGTAGGGTACCCACATTTTGGTGGATTTCGCTAAAAACCTTCCACAAGATAGTACCTACTTAATTTTTGGGGCACTTCTCATTGCTCGAGCTTCTATTGGCGACACGAGAAAGAGAGACAACGATTCGAGATTTACGAAACGTTAAACCGCGTGACAAAATTCGCAACGGAAGATAAAAGGCGCCCGAAGTTGACTACCTCTCGAAGACGCGCGCGCGCGCCTTGCAAAAGGTCGTTAATTTCGCCCCTAGGACAAAAAACAAAATTCCGCCGCGCGTTTACAACATCTTTCCGACGACACCAATTTGAAAAGAATCGGACAAAAACTGTAGTAGAAGATAGGAAAAAACTGAAAAACCTTCATGTCAGTAAACTACGCTCGAGGATGACGTCCAGATGTCGCCAACCCCACATCATGTAGCCCTGTCCCTAAGGTTGACAAATTACACGGCCTTGTAGATACACGTACACCCGTTGCCTTTCTACAAGAGTTCTTCTCCGCGCCCATATTTGCTGCCAGCCAGCCAAATAAATTTGCAAAAATGCGCTAAAAAACGCTCGCATTGCTCAGAGTATGCAGACAACGAGTAAATGACATCTTTCATTTGGGCATAAGATTAAAATAATGTATGATTTGAGTGAAAAATTTAAATTTTTGGAAATATGTGAACCGCTCGATTGTAAATAAAATAAAATACATTCTTCGATTTAAACACGAATTTGCAAATTAGGTTTCAGGTTTCTCATTAATATGCGAAACCAATGTTATGCAAATTCTGCCGAAGAGCATCCTCACCAGACACAGACAATAATCGTTACTTGATTTTAATCCGTGCGATTAGTTAACCAGGCTAGACCTGAGTTCTTTTTGCGTAACATTTTAAACAAATCAGTAGGCTGTGAAATACGAGTAGATACACAAGAAGTAATTGACAGTTTACGGTTTTATCATACAATTCGAATCAATTTTACATGTAAACAATATAGAAAAATGCAAATTAGGGGACGTGTATAAAAGAGAAGGGATGAAAGATTCTATAAAGAAACTTTGTAATTGTATCGGCCCAGTGAAAACTGGAGATGTAAACGGAAAACCAAAATAAAATTATGATGTTATATTAGCATCTAAATTGTACGCTGCATGTGTTGCCTATATTCATGACGAAAAACTTTGAACACATTTTTTGTTCTTTAAAAACAAAATGTAGTCGCTGCTGCAAGTTAAAATAACAATCAATGGGTACATCAAGGAATAAATGCCATGTTATCAAGATGAATTTTGTTGTTATCTACATTTGGAAGAATATGCCAAAGGCGATATTAGGAAACTGCTTCGGTAAGTATGTACAGTAATAGTTAATTAGAAAGAGTTAATGACATTTACTTACAGCAATAACGTTACAGACCAACATTGACCTATGGTAAAGAGAAAGTCCGGTGCTGAACGAATCTCAAAAAACCAGACTACAAGGATCATGACTGATAGCTAAAGTAGAGGTTTTCTTTCAAGTTGGCGCTATAATGTATTTAACTGGAATTCACAGTAGTGACCGAAGGCTTTAATTCGAGAAGAAGAACATACAGGGTGATTCCTATAGTACCTGCCACCGTTTGGGAGCGTATAGGGGGTGCCTAGGGGAGTATTTTGATATAGGACACTTGGGGTCGGAAATCTAAAATAAGGGCGCCAGAACCAAATTTATCTTCTGGAATTTCACGCCTGTATGTAGGCAACCCAACCGACCGACGTTTCGCGCGGAGCGATGCAGAGCGAGTTAGCGCGAGGAAGCGACATGGGAGGGAAGGAGGGAAAACGACAGTCAAAAGCAATAACGTTTACAAGTGTTCAACGTGGCCACCGTTGTTCTCAATGCACTTCCTACATCTAGCCAACTATTATTATACTATTGCCATAGTGTTTATTCCATTGAGTTAGAAAACTAATGGAGTGAATATAATGGTGGAGGGGGTAAGAATTTTTGTAGACGGAAGTTGCCACAGATAGAGGCCACTCGCGTGGATAGGTTCCCGTAAAGGTACATTTTGGCCGACATTATTTGACATATGAAAACGCGGGTCCTGTCACTCTCAGTTTTCCACCAAATTCAAATTTTATTAAATTTGCCATTTTAAAGTACCTAATAATTTCGGATCGGTGTTGTGCTCTGGTTTATATAAATAACTAACTGCCGCATAGTGTTTTTATCACAGGCAATTTTGTGAATTGAGAATGATTAGCTGCGTATCATGCAAAATTTCTCATAAAGGGAAGGAACATGGCATTTCCTTTCATCGGTAAGACATCGTCATTTATCATGTTGTAGGCGAGGTTGTAGGTACCTAGTTTATGATTCTTAGTTTTCCAAACGAACCGGTACTTCGAGCAAAATGGTTACCTAACATTTGTAAATATATCTCAAGAACAGCTCTCGAAATTTACTTTTGTGCTCACACGCTTCATTGACTGTGATTTCGACCAAAGGTTGCACCGGAAAATTTTCATCAAATATCTCGTCAAATATGCAGTAGGTAGGTACTATCAAAACTTGTAATGAACCTGAGACCAACCAATCAATTGTAGCTATTGATCAACACAGTGAATTTAATGGGAGTTGTCAAGTTGTAGTGGTTATAGTAAACTGGCCTTAATTATACTACTGGAACACATCGATGTATATTTAGATTTGTAATCAATGATTAAATTAAATCTGCATACTTTCCCATCCTTGTCTATTTTGTTTACTTTACCACGAGCATGTATTTTACTCCTATACGTTTTTTTATGTTATTATTCCTATTAGTGGAAAGAAAATTATATCTCTACGCCACTGAAGTGAGACGCTAATGATAACGGAAGTGGTGTGGTACTTTAATCACAGTTAGAGGCCACTTTTGGTTCCCGTGGTCTACGTCTGGCCAAGCATTTGATTCCCTCCATTAGTTTTCTAACTCAATGGTTTATTCACTTGATACGCGTCGTTGCAGACGGGATTTCGTGGGTTTAAACAAAATTCTGATCAAGTGTCAGCCACACATCGCCGCCTGAGTTCGCTCCGTGTGCACCGCCGGCCGGTTGGGTTGCCTACCTACAGGCGCGAAATTCCAGAAGGTAAATTTGGCTCTGGCACCCTTATTTTAGATTTTCGACCCCAAGTGTCCTATATCAAAATACTCCCCTACGCACCACCTACACGCTCCCAAACGGTGGCAGGTACTATAGGAATCACCCTGTATTCTTTCCGAAAATACAGCGACATTTGGTTTGTAATATGGAAGTCAGCAGAAACTGGTATTATAAACAAAACAAACGGTGGCACGTTAAAGCAAATCCAAATTTTAGCGCGCTTGCGTTTGCGCAGTACAGGGAGTCAGTGTGGAACACATCTGCAAGTGACGTAGCACTAGGGAAGTGGGGGCATGTGTGTGGCTTTCTATCCCTTATATATATATGCTTTCTATATTACGGTGGCTTCGATTCGTTCCACTTACCCGTATAACATCATAGCCGGTCTATAATAATTAATTCAAAATTAAGGTTTGTTATTTGAGGAAGCGATAGGTTAGTGATATGAACACTAACTTACAAACACGAAGGTGCCGGGGTCGAATCCTGGGCCCGTCAACAAACAGCCTTTAATGTTTTTCCACCTCGAGGCCGCGTCAGCCTCGTTAAAAATTAGTACCTGGGGTAACAATGGGAAGCTTTGAAGCGTAGTGGTTGCCACACTACTTCCCTGGAATTCATTCCAGTTGGGGGCCGGGTTAAATGAAGTGATCCATACCCACTTATCCCATAAACCACTACCAGATGTTCTAACGCGGGGCTATTTTAATTTCGTTAAAGCTGATACACTTTTGTTATTGTTTTATGTAAAAATGATTGTTCTCACTTAGGGTTAACATTGACGTCGAAGTGATAAATAATGAAATTAGCACTCGTGTTATAAATGTGACTGCAAGTA